CCGGTATGTTCCCCCTGGTGTTTGCCATCGGGGTTGGGTTTTCGTTGCTTGGCAACGACGTTGTAAAACAAGCCAATCACTGCGTGAGCTCGGCAACCAGGTTGACGCTTTTTTTGTTTTTGCAACCATATTGGTGTCGAGTAGATCTTGTTGTGCGGGGTCGAGAACCCTCACTCCGCTCAAAAGGGAGATCGCACCACGTTGTGTTACAATGGTCAAGCGCCTTCGAGGCAGTTACACAGAGTTTATTGCTGTCTCTGCAAGTAGAGGCACCAGAAAATATGTCAAGTCATTCGCAGCTGTCATTCGATGCAAGGACGTAAGCGCAAGATGCCGAACACCATGCGACTCGCCAAATATCTCACGGCGCTTCACGCAAAATGAGATTCTGGTCCGGTGAGAACCCGGCGTACTCCGTCCCAGCTCTGTAGGGATTCGAGGTCAATGGTCAACGGACTACGGCATGCACGGCTATGAATACACCTCCCCTCTCCCGCCTCATCTGCAGTCACCCCTCCCCTGTTCTTGCCATCCACACCATCGTCCCGTTGAATATTTGCAGCTCGCTCTCATGGGGGGCTTTTCGACGATGACGCGAGCAGCTTTGGAAGTCCAACAAGGAGCGAGGCCGACAGCTCGATGGGCGAAGTCAAAGAGCTCCAGATATTCCCAATAATGATGAAGGCCGCGTCCGAATCGAAGCTTGAGTTCTCTGACAAATCCGTTGCCGTCAGGAGCACCTCGGCGAAAGAGGACGAGCAATCGCTTTGCCCGCCGAAGGCCCCGGGGTGGACGACTCCCGGGTCCGGGTCATTGGACTGTATCCACGACCAAAACAGCAGCAGCAACAACAACAATAACAACAATGCCGACAGCAACAGGAACGTTGACAACGGCAATATGGCATCAGGGGTATTCCGTTCCCCTCCTCCTTTTCATTATCGAGTCCCTGATGAGGCTTTCCCTCTGACAGACGCCATGCTAGAGCTCCCGGTTTAGACATCGTACACGTTCCGAATCGGGGTGGGGTCTCTTGTGTTTTCTTGGCACTCGACGGCAGCCCCCCCGTCAATATAAGAGGGTGGCATGCCGTTTTGGGTGTTTTTCCCTCGTCCTCCGAAAGCGTTTCCCTCGTTGACTGCCAGGCCAATGCAGGTACATTAGTGGACATATTACGAAGGACGTTGCGTCTGTGTGAAGCCCTCCCCTCACGTACGGGCAGAAAGCGCTGCCACTTCTTCACGACTTTTATTTTTCCGAGAAGGCTTAGGTTCTTCCTCTGCCGGTAACTAGCAGCCATCCGTGTGAAGGCTTGCATGAGACCATGTTCAGAGGTGGTCATCTGGCATCACGACTGTGGTGCAGATCCCACATCAAGATTTTGACTGTTTCAGCCACAATGTCTTGGCTGCCGAATCTTGAGAACGATGGCACCATCTGCATTTAGCAGGGCAATAATTCTAGGTAGCGGTGAACGTGGTGTAAGGTTTTGAGTTTGTTGATATTCAACGTATTTGTTGTGGTTGATGTCTTGTGTCGTTCTTTTGGTGACAATTCCCTTCCTGTAAGCATTGATCATTGTGGTGTTGAAGCTTTTTGGTAGTCAGCTTTCTTGTGTTTTGGTTTCTTCTTGCTTCGTCGTTCTTTCTTGTGACATTCCCATCATGTGAGCGTGCATCGTTCGAGTCAGCGCTGTTTGAGTGCATTGTTTTGTGTTTGGGGCGCGTATCGGGGTGACCTCATGATTGTCGCTACTGACGGCCGCGCCATGCATTGCACCGTCTGTGCGCTTGTTTGCGACGTGAAACGGTAGTCTCCGATGTAGTTCGCGTAGCTACCAACCATTTTTGACTGATAGGTAGGCAAATGCGTCGCGTACTCGTTCATACGTGCCGTGCTGCACTATTAGGTAGACCGTAGGTCGTCACATCGTACGTCTTCACATCATCACATTCACATTCACATCGACGGGTTCGTTTGAGCTAAAACTCCGTTTTGCATGCACACCGTTTGTTGAGTACGGACGCCTGCGGCAGCCAAAGGCACGTCTACATAGACTAGAGAGCATCGAGCGATACGACTTGTACTTGACGAGCAGCGTAGCGCGTATGCCCTGTCCACATACTCAGTGAGTACTACCGCAGCATTTCGACGTGATCGCCTCCGCCGCAACAGACAGGGGAATGAAAAGTGTAAAACAAAAAAAAAGTACCATGTTAGTGCAATGTACCGCAGCGCACTCACAGAATACACCGTCCACCGTAAGATCAAAAGTGTGTGCGCGTGGGTACGGTATTATCACTGGAAAAACCTTCTTCTGTACATAAAACCCGCTGTGTACAGCGTTGTCAAACAAGCGTGTCAACTTTCGCACTTAGGCTGAAATCAGCACAAAGCATCTAACTATCGATCAATAAAACAATCTCTACCCGGAGTGCCATGCTAAAAAAACAAACAAAATTTCCATGTTCGGCAGACGAAGAGCCTCTACACGTCCTGCCCCTCTCATCTATTCAGCTTGTTAAACGTCCTTGTCTCCGACTCTATCGTCATCGCCGTCCACCTCCTCCATCTGCTTCCCCTGGCTCCAAAGCGCGGCCCCCGTAATTATACCAGCACCTACTAGCCCCGCCGGCCCGAGAGTCTCCCCCAGCAGCAGGTACGCGAACCCCGCCGCGTAGACGGGATCCATGGCGTAGATGATAGCGGCGCGCTCGGCCGGCACGCTGCGCTGCCCCACCGCCTGCATCCAGTTGGTGAGGGCCGTGGTGACGACTGCGAGGTAGCCTATGAGTGGGGCCTGCGCTTGAACGCCTTCCAGTGCGACGCTGAAGTTCACGCCTCGCGTGGTCACCTCCCATGCTTTCATTTTTTTTTCGTGCAAGGGGAGGAGGGGGGGGGGGATAGGGTATGTTTTCTTAATCTGTGTCACTGCAGGCGTATTGATCAAACGTCCGTTNGGGGAGGGGGGGGAGGGGGGGGGGGATAGGGTATGTTTTCTTAATCTGTGTCACTGCAGGCGTATTGATCAAACGTCCGTTGGGCATAAGGTTTTGCTACACAGACAGCAAATACGGGGACGACGGAAGTCACACCAACCTACTTGCAGACGATCAAGGAACGCGCTGCTTGACCCATCAGCCACTGAACCATAGCACACCTGCCCACGCCCCGCACAACCCGGCCGTGATCCACAGGTTGGCGCTGTTGAGCTGCGAGGGATCGCAGCTCCCCGAGTACTTCTCCAAGCGCAGGATGAACATGGCCGAGGTCGCGGCGGCGAGCACGCTCCAGAAGTCTCCCAGGTTCGGAGGCGTGCCGTCGGAGGACAAAAGCACGGTCCCCACAAAGGCGAGGAAGGCGCTGATCCAGGTGGGCGCGGAAATTCTCCGGCCCTCCAGCACGAAGGCGAAGAACGGCACGAGCTTGACGTTAAGGTAGAGTAGGAACGCGCTCCGGCTGATATTTTGTTGTGCGGGATTGGGGAG